GCTGGGAATGTTGATCAGAGTCTGCCATATTGTCACGCAGTCCTTCTTCCCTAGGTCTTATCACAGTCTCTCCCTTGCCTCTTAAGATTTGTCTACTCTTTCCCTGGTTCACATATTTCACTCAACTCCTGATACCCCAGCTGTGCTGCTCGAAGCGTTATTCACCTACTTTTGTAGTACTACTTGCTTTGGTTAGGTTTAATGTTTAGCCACATGTGTAGGTTGGCACGAAAGAGACTAGCGAATCGGAAGTCATAGACTTGGTATTAGGGATAGAAACAGGATAGACGTGGTGGAGACTGGAACTAGTTGGCTGACAGTAGGTGTGTTTTTACGATAGACGTGATCCATAACAAAAAGACTTGACCACGAGACTTACTCAGAGGCTTTAGCCTCAAATTAGTCACTCAGACGCAGGGTAGGGTGAATAATGCCTCGAGCAACACAGATGGGGCGGCAGGGGTTAAGTGAAATATGTGAACCAGGGAAAGAGTAGATAAATCTTACGAGGCAAGAGAGAGACTGTGATAAGACCTAGGTAAGGAGGACTGCGCAACAATATGGCAGACTCTGATCAACATTCCCAGTGCAAGTGTGAAGGGTTTTTCTGAATGCCGCTCAAAGGAGCACACCACACGACATCGAAATAAGCACGGTAACAATTGTAACAGTGAAGGTGTGATAGGAGGATATAGGAATTGTGAATAGGCCAGGGCAGAAGGGGAGATACCACAATTGTCTAGCACACGTTTGGTCAAAGGATCGGCTTTACTTGCCTCATTGACCAGTTGTAGTGTGGTGCTAAGAATGGCGATGCTCACTGACGATGCCGGAGAAACGTCTGAGAATGTACCGCGTCCACGACTTTACTCTGGAAATGATGATGCATACAATGGACTCCGGACTAGATGCGTTCCTCTAAGTCTTCGTACCAATATGAACAAGTTACGAAAACAAGGTCAAACAACCTCTATACAAATAATCAAATCTAATCAATCCATTCCATTCTAATATACTCAAAGAAAAATAATATAACTAAGCATAATAATCTAATCTAATAATGTAATGCTCTTTACAGAAAAGGGCACACATCTATAGGAAAGAAGAAAAAAGAATTAGAGGATCAATATTGTAAGAAGTTGGTGAAGTAGAAAATAGAGATTACCTAGCCTCGCTGTTTAGAAAATAGGCAAAAGGAGTAGCAACAAAGATTCGTCCTAAAGGCAAAGCGTACATCAGACATGACAAGAGTAAATCTAAATACTAGCTAGATCTGAGAGTAAATTACCAAACGCTGATAATCGTCAGATGTCCAATGTCGTTTTATTTTAAATAAACAAGAGAGAATCACATTCACTCACCTCTGAGAAGCAAATCTGACTAGACCCTCCTCGTGAATATAGGCACGCAGAGGATAAAAGCTGGTCACATAAACGTAAATGCGGAGGTCGAATTTGTTGTCATTGATAAGATATGGCTGAGAGATGTAGGACTGTACTACAACAGGTCGACGCTTCGGTACTTCACCCCAACGATGAATCACCTTTACACCAATGCCACGAGCAGCTGCTGGCTACAGAGGCGGCCAATAGAAAAATACAAATAACAAGGGAAAAAAGTTAAATAAAAGACAGAAGCTAAAATTAAATCTATCTATATATATGTGTGTATATTACGATGCCGACGAAACGCCTGGGAATGTACCAAGTCCACGGTCCGACTTCGGACAAGGTGCGTTCCTCTAAGCCTTTCTACCAATATGACCAAGTTGCGAAAACAAGATCAACCAACATCTACACAATGAAAAGAGACTGCAACCATACAAAAGGTTATACCATCTTGGTGTTCATACCTCCGATTACAAATATTCAAGTTCTTCCGGATGCAGGAAATCAAACCTTTAGAGGAATTATATCACATAAATCTACAACAGGCAACAAAGATCTACCATCAGTCGAATTCCTAAATTTTCAGATAAATGAACTGATTGAGAAAACCATAGAATTGTGGAATTCATATATTTGAGAAAACCGATCAACATTTATTATCAAGACTTGCTCAGCTTGTAATTAAATTCCGAGTTGAATTAACTAGCAAGGAAGTAAACCTCCTTATTATTGCGACAAAAAGATTAGATATCCTAAAGTCGACGTCGATACAAATTAATTTAAAATGTTTATATGCATGCATGAATAAAAGGTAGAGGAAAAACGAAGATTGATTCTGAATTAGTCATAGTTTATGTGAACATTATATAAACCAAGGCATGAGGGGCACATCACTCATAGATTAATATCATTTATAAAAAGCAGAGGACCCTGGAAAACATACATCCTGAAAACATCGACGAGAGGCAACGAAGAGGTAAAACAATTTATA